AGGTGGTGGTCAAGACACCCTCACGGAAAGGACGGGAGCCGCCGTGCGAAGAGGTGAAGGGGCGGCACGCGGCACGCGGCACGTGTACCCGGTCATGACGGGTGTTCCCACAACCACAACGGGTCTTCCTTCTTGTTTGAAGGACCGGGGTGGTTTTGGGTTCCAGAATCCTAGAACTAGGCTAGAAGGATGGATTGGGATGGATTGGGGGGCGGGTTTTCCAATAAGCCAGAACTCTGCTATAGAACATCAGGAAAAAAAGGTGTGGTACCTATGAGAAATTGTTTGACTGGCTCTTTTTGCAGCGCTACTGGCGACACATGACCAAGAATCATGCTACCCCTCCCGTTCACCGATGCTCAAGATATGATACCTCGTTCCGGTCGCATGGCATGTCACAAGCACGTTTTGGGTACGACCAGGACAAAACCATACCGCTTACCCACTCGCTTCACCTCGCTTCATTCGAAGCTGTCCCAAGATGTGCGGATGTCCATCCTTCTTCGAGCTGTGGTGTCGGACGGTCAACAGTACCACACCTTCACACTAGCTCAAGAGTATCAGTCATAGCACCAGAGTATCAGTGATAGTGAGTGAGTCAAGACTATGTTCTCCAGCCTGTGGGATCTCTATGTTTTTCCTTTTTTGTGATCAGATTCTGATCAAGTGCCCCTGAACCGCCAGGTTCATTCTTTGTTTGTATAGTATAGACGAATTATAGACCAGACAAAGGTGATGAGATGATGCCTCACGCAGGAGCCCTCTCCCCACAACCGCAGCAGCAACAGCGAAAAGTGGCCCGGGTCCGCCGGCCTAGTGGTTGATTGCAAGGTCCGTGTTGTGGTGTGGATGAAGTCATCCCCCCAAAGGCAACTGTATGTTTAGTTTTGTGTGTGTGTGTTTTTTTCACTGTTTCAACGTTTTGTTTGGAGGTTCTTCAATCTTCACACATTCCACATGCCCATGAAGGAACATAGTAGAAAACACTATGTGGAAAAAATAAAGTATAGCAAGCCCCTAAGACCTGACCTGCCACTTTGATTAGAGCGTCTTCTTTTCCAAACGCATGGTCTTCCTTTCCAACACTCACTGTCGCCGCTTTGTGCCTCCTTTCTCCGCGCGAGGTGGTGAGCTCCACCTATCGCCACGGGAATCGTGCCGATTTCTACCTAGGCGACGGACGTCTCCCGCGACGCGCGCGGTGAGAGGTCGGCTCGACCCCCGGTCGCACGTCCCAGACAAGGCGGCGGTTGGCGAGCAGGCACCAGCACAGGCAAAGGCAACTTGAGTGGCTCAGGAGGACTCGCAAATCACCTGCAGTCCTCCTGAGCCGCGAATCGGAAGGCCACTCGGAGGGGATTTGGTTGAGGTTTGGTCGTTCCCAATGACACGTCACCTGCAGCTTACCTGCAGAACACGCTTGTGGAGATGGAATGGAATGCATCCTTTGTTGGAGACTGTTTTTGTTGGGTCCGTGTCAGTCCAGATCAGAATCAGACGGCATTAGTAGCTTAGTTTTCCTTCCGAGGTTGAGCCACGAGGAAAATTATTGTTCTACTTCCGATACCAACCCGATTCTATGCGCTATGAAATCCCGACTTCATCTCACAGATGGTGTCTCCATTCATAACCTTCGAACCGAACAAGACTCAACACAAGACGTCCATTTCCAAGATTCGCGTCCATTCACATTCTGCATCACTGGGATGTTGGATGAACTGAAATAAACTCTGAAGGTTCCCAGTGGGTTCGAAACCCCTAAGGCCCGTTGCAGGGTCCAAATCCTCCAGTTTGTTGGGTCCAGTTTGATGCCGGGTTAGGCCATCTCTGCCATTTCGTCTCTCTCCCTGGGGGTTTGTGGAGCCCTCCATTCAGGGCCCCCTTCCTTTTCCACTCCGATTGGCTCGGCAGATGGCAAGAAAGTGCCCTTGGAATCCGGGAAGTGGCAGCTGCACGAGTATCAGAGGCATGGGGCACGGTCGCGGGGGCTTCGAACTGGATGTAGTTCGTTGGGCTGCTTAGACTATAGTGTACTTATCAGCCTGTAACTGATAAACACAAGATAACACAAGTGAAAACAGACAGCTTTATCTGGCAAACTCCCCCAAAAGCTGTGCCCCGTGCCATATCATACAACAAACACAATATAGACACCTGACCTTTAGTTACCTTTCGAAATAGCTTTAGTCATCCGCGGTTTCGGCGACCTCCAGGCGCGGCTTTAACGTGGTGACCTTGGACCCTGATACTCAACAGGTGACCTCCGCAACGTCCGGGGGCCCCACACGGGACACGTCAGGTACCGGCCAAAGAAGCGGTGTGGCCATGGTGGTGTGGTGTGTGGCCATTAGAAGGTTTGGATGCATGTTTTTTTTGGGGGGGGATCTCTCTGTATATTGGGGTCTCTGGAGGGTGAGTGGTTTGAGGGTATAACATGATCTATAAAGAGGAAAGGTTAGAGGAAAAGAACCTGGAGATATACCTCACATATCCTAACAGTGAAGGGCAACCGACAAAGAGGCATCCAAAGTGTCAAAGAAGGGCTAACCGTCGCGCCGGGCGGACACTCCCGACACTCGGTGGCTCCCCTCCAAAGGACGAGGCTGCCCGGACGAGGAGTCTTTGGGTTGTGGTTTAGAACTCGAGATCGTTTCTGGCCCCATCTGAAGTTGGATGTGATATGATGTGATCTATAATTAATGAAACCATGACGACCATAGCCTCGGTTTTTGGGGACCCGCGATCCTTGGATCTTCCGAAGCACACGGATCGTAGTCGTCTACTACACCGGTTCCGAGTCCTTCGGCCCGTCACGAAGGTGCTACGACACCTCGGGCGGTGGGCAAGTGGCCCGGGAGACTCGGAGGGCGACGCGGTCGACCGGGAGGCTGCGCCCAACGAAGGGCGGTCCTGAAAGAACGCAGGTCAGGTGAGCCTCAGAAGGGATTCTTACTTCGGATTCTTGCAGTTGGATACGGGTTTTTGCAAGTTGAGTGAATTAACAGAGAAATCAACTTGGAGGTCGCATGTCCAAATGCTTGTTCAATTCATGTTGGTGTCTATTTATATGTTTCTATCACCTGGGAGGAATTGGTGTTTCTTAATGCTCCAACCTGGGAAACAAAATCTGGTGCTGTGCCACATACCCAGCGAGGCAACATGAACCAACCAACCAAGTGCCGCCCACCGAGCCCACCGGCTCTGACGAGGCCGTGGCGCAACTGGCGACCGACTTGAACGCCCTGCCGGAGGCCGGAAAACGAAAGGGAGAAGTTCCGATTAGCAAACTGCGAGCAAAAGAAGGACAAACATTGTACAAGGATGACTTGGAGTTGAGTGAGTCAATCTCAAGCACGTGAAGATGATTGATACACAGCGAAGCTTCATCAGTAGTTAGATTCAGCAGGAGAAGGTATATTGCAGGTTTGTTTACTCTGAGGCAGTGACTTTCATACGTGAAGTCACCCCCCGTATTAAAGTATTTGTTTGAGTTAACTTCAATCCCGACCTGCTTGAGTTGTTCCTTTTTTTTGATTTCCCAGTTCATGTTTTGAAGCGCCGTAGATACCTAGTACTTCTAATATACTATATACCGGCGCCGCACCGGTGGAACCTCGGCACCACGAGGGCCGAGTGGTCCTGGTGGCCGTGCGCGGCAGTGGCCTGGAGTCCCTCAGCGGCGCCGCCCGGGCGCGCAGAGAGCTGGAGGGACTGCGCAGAGCTGGGAGGATGGAGGAACCATGAGGAAAATCCATTGGAGTCGCAGGATGGGGGCGGAATGGGTGGAAGAAGATGGAAGAAGTGAGTGAAGTCACTGGCACTTTGGGGAGGCTTCTACAGGGCTTCTACAGTGACTGATGAGGTGGATGAGAGTGGATTTGATCTTCCATGCCAAAATCAGAGAATCCCTTCCCTTCCCTGCCCAATTCCAGTCTTCCCTCCTCCAGGCCCCATCAGTCTTCTCCATCCCTTTCAGGCCATGCGCGCCCTCCGGCGGGTGGGCGCCACCTCGGCCATCTCGGGTGGACGGTCACAGGAGGGCTATGTGCTCATCGGCATCAAAGGAGGCGCGGATGTGGCGGATGTGTATTCGCTCGAGGGTCCAGACGCGGGTCCAGAGGCGGGGGTCTAACACCGAAGTCCCAGGTTCATGCCGAGGGGCCGTGAGGGCGAAGACGGAGACTGATGTGGGTGACATGGTCGGCAGATCGGCGTTGGCATCGGAGTTCGAGGATTTTTTGGACTTGGCAAGATCACGGACCAATGGTCGGTGCATTGACTATGTGCAGCTTGTGCAATGCTCATGATATTTTATGATGTTTAAATACTAACTTTTAGCACCCACCTCTCTCACACCTTGGCTACACGCTTTGCCTTCTTGTGGAGGCGAAGCCACCGCCGAACGTCGTGGACACCACGTGGAGGTGGAGGCGAAGCTACCTCGACCACCCTGGCAGGAGATCCGAAGCAGAGCGCAACCCCTTGGGGCTGGGGGCTGGCTTGGGCTTGTGGGGCTGGCTTGCATGTCAGGTGGGTTGGTTCCTTGCCGTTCCCAGTGTGTGGGTTGATTGTGTTGGGCTTGGGCGATGGGTAGCTTTGTTGGGGTTGAGATGAGTTGAGTGATAGGTGGTCCAACAGGTGCCTGGCAAAGAGTCCTCAAGATGCAAAAACTTAGAATTCCTGAGTCTTGGTTTGGAAGCAAGATAAACATAAAGGACAATAAAGGTATCGACGTTAGTTCAAGCATGTCCTAGCAAAAAGTTTTGCCATCACTTAAATTGTCCCCAAGCACCCTTGAGCATCCTCTAGCATACAGCGAGAGGAAAGCAACTGATGTTGTTTCTTATTGCCACATTGAAGAGCTTCAACAAAAAAAGACCGGAACGGTCAAGGCACCAATTCAATCCAATTCAAAGCAAAGTGTTCTTCGGACTGTTGAAGCACCAAACCAGCAGCCAGTGCATGGCAACGCCGCTGCTCTAGCTGCCCCGGCTGCCCCCATGTCGTACTACAAGTCCCTGGAAGGCCGGGATCAACATCCATGGTGCACTTTCTGGGGGAGACAATCAAGCACATGCACGCAATTACTTTTAAAGGTTGAAACCAGTGCAAAAAGGATCCGACAAGTACGTTGCCTATTCTGATCGTTATCATGTCACTTCCAGTGCCACTACTTGTAGTAGCAAGGTGCCTTACTAGTAGCTTCTTGCTACTAGTAGTAATGGCCTCCAACCTACTAGCGATGGCCTCCAACCTAGTAGCTTCTTGCTACTAGGGTTCTTCCAGTTCCTGTTTCACCCGGATGTGACGAAGCGAATGAACCCAATACACTCTCTAGTCCCGCGAAGGATTGACACGGAACTGGGTGGAGCTGAGAAAAACCAAGCCGATCAAGAGGGATTTTCACTCCAATGACATGCAAATCTTCTTTGGCCGAGTTTGGGGTCGAGTTAGGGCCAAGACTGTGGATCAAATCATGTGTGTTTCTTTTTGTTTAAAGCCCGTGGTGTTTGGTCTATCCGGATAGGCAGATCCATGTCACCATGTCACAAACCTGAACCCATGCGTCAACGGCAAAGTTTGGTTCAGCACCCCTTGGAGCCTCTCTCTCAGCCTCTCTCGCTTGCAACCACAATAGTTATAGTAGAAGTATGTTTAAGCTTTCAAACCTACATTGTATAATCGTTTGGCTTGCTATGACAGGCTTGGGAAGCGACCCCAACACGATTGAGGTTAAAGCACTATATTTAAAAGAAACAAAATTGTGGGCGACAAGCGGACTTACAACGGGATGACCCAAGACACTCCGAGCGTTTGGGGCGGAAAATCACACGTTATGGGATTTCCCAAGGCGCGATGTCCTTAAAAGAATGGGTATGGAGGCTCATTTAATCCTTGGCAGTCAACCTCTATTGAGTTTGTTCTCGCTCTGTGAATTCCGACTGTACCAGTACAGCTTCAGGAAAATCCAAATGCGGAGAATCTTGAGATCTTGCGGAATCTTTGGAGAGCATTTGAGTGGCCTTAATTATTAATGTAGCTCGTTTTGGGGTGACCCTTTTCCAATATATACACATCTATTCTGGGTGGTGGTTTTAATTGGGAATTGGAACCATCATTCACCATACTTTGTTCAATCACACCACTTCTTTCCAACGCCAGGTGATCCTGCTGCTGCAGGAGTCGCCAATGGCAGTCCCTCCTTCACGCCAACATCCGCCTCGACGGCAGATCCCTCTTTTGCACCAAGAGCCGCTTGGACGACGACGAGGTTTTGAAGAGAGGTGAAAGTGACCTGAAATCACCTGGGGTACCCGGAATCACCTGGGGTACCTAATGGGTGCGGCTAGTCTATAATCCCGTCCCCCTAATAATAAACACGGGCCCCCCCCCCCCCCCCTAATAAGGAAACCTCGGTCGCATTTTTTTTAATAGGGGGTCCCTGAAATCGGGGTGTCCAAAATAGGGTCACCTGGAAAGAGTTTCAAAACCAAAAAGTAATCCAGGAAAATTTTATATAAAATCCTTTATTAAACTCATATCAAAAATGCAAAAAACCGCCAGATCGAAGGGTCTTCCTTTTCCCCTACAAAAACCTTCATTAGAATAGTGATTCTTCAGTAGACTAACAGCTAAAGCTTTCGAAAGGTGATGTCGCTGTGCCATGCGGTGTTGCGTGACCTCGGTGGCAAGTGCGTTTGCGTGAGTCCGTGCCATTGAGGGAAGGAAAGCCTGCTGGTGTAAGCGCGGCGTGTCATGGTGGAGTTTTGGGGAACCTAATAAAAAAAACTACCCCCAAAATCGACCATGTTGGTAGTTTAGTAGCGGTTTGAAAGGGCGGCAATTTAAAACCAAATATAAACCAAATTTAGGGGATCCGGCATGACTTTTTTTTAATTGGGGTCCGTTTTTTAATAGGTACTCGGGATTAGAGTCTATCGGCTCCATCCACCTCTGTTGCTTTGTATGATGTCGGGTACCGGAGACCCCGACGTAAACGGTCGAAGGATAGAAAGGATTGACTCAGTGGCTAGTGTTCGACTATGTTCGACTACAGCTTTGGGGCGGTCGGTGGCTAGTGTATGGTTCAGAAAGAGGTGTTTGGAGGTTTCTCGTTGCATTTCTTATCGGATTTGAATTTGGTGATCACTTGGGGATTCGAGTATTGCCCGGCAAAGAATGCCCCAAAGACATCCAAAGACTCGATTTTGCGTAGAGATGTTGGCACATTCTGTAGCCCAACAGGCAGCCAATGGGGGGTCCACGTGTCTAGGTACGTGTGACAACAAGCTTTCAGAGACCATGCAAGTTCTTGATCAGTATGTGCATCAGTCCTATCTCCTGATTGCTGCTCTCCTTTTTCGTGCGCTGCTCAGCTTGACCAACTCTAATATTGGACTTATAAGTTATAAGAGTTAGTCAGTACATGTCAGTATACTGGGTGAAAAGACTTCTTTAGCAAACGCCCTGGGAAGTCAAGATCCACTTTCGTCGGAGGCACTGTGAACTGAGGGTCCTTGACCAACAAACACGCCATCCACCACACGGCGTGGGCCTTGGATGCCCAGCGCCCGTCCAAGGTCGACAGGTTGCAACTTCGACAGCTTCGCAGCCTGCACTTAGCACTTTTGCCGACTGCGTGACCATGGTCCTATATAGGATCATTCTCGACCACAGTCCTGTGTGGTGTGGCAGGATGGGCTTGTCCCATTTGAGGGTCGAAGTGAGATGGCCTGCATCTGTGCCGACACTGTGCCGACACTGTCGCAGGGCCGGGTCATGAGGGTCGAACATCGGGGGTTTCTCGTGTGCTTCTCTTGGCAGGAGGGGCAGCTGCAGGAGGGGCAGCTGCAGGATTCACGACAGGTGACGAGCCTTTGGTGATCCCATCCGTTCCGTTCCGTGCCACTCGTGGCTCGTCCTAGGGACGAGCCTTCTCAAAAAACAGATTCCAGGTGACTCAGTGACACTCAGTGATTTGAGTTGCACCACTTGCAAGGGCAGTAAGGGCAGATGCTTGTCTCATGCTTCTTGGTTGCTTGCAGATGTGATGAACAAAGAAGGCTGGAAGGATCTGGAAGGATGGAAGGTCAGTTCTAGGTGTGTGACAGCAGACTTCCCATCATGACCTTTTCTCCCAAGCGACGAATCCAGTCAAGAAAAGATGATCGTGAACCTTGACCAGACTCCCAGACGTCCAGGCCGCGGACCGGACTAAGTGAAAGTAACCAAGATCCTCCCATAAGATCAAACCTGTTGATCATCTATGTGTTCCGTCGCCGTTTCCCACCAAAATGATCGGCTTTCGTCCCATCAATAATTAAGAGCATTTACGTAGGTCTGGTGAAATGCACCGTTTACAAACCCGTTCGTTCTGCTTCCTGGAGTCCGTTTCCCGCTTGGAAACCGCTCACGATAGCGGTTCATTCACAGAAAATTCCATTGACTTTGGCCGACGAAGGGCCGGGCCCATTCGGAAACCGGAGCGGTGGTGCACAGGAACGTGACACATCTGAGGCTGTTCCGCGCGGTGCTTCTGGTGTCTGGCAGCTTCTTTCGGGACAAGAAGAGTAGATCGAAAGCATGGACGACACTTGGCCTGGCCTGTGCGCTGACCAACCGGACGACCAACGTTTCGCGAAACAGCGGGAAGGCGGAAGGATTTGAGTTCTTTTAAGTTTTTGCCTGGCATCCCATGGAAGTACAAGAGCTTGAACAAGTTCTGTGAAATACCTTCGCGGTGTTTGGAGCTTGAAGCTTCGTGTCATGAGGTGGAGAACCTCACAAAAGATGACTTATAGATTATAAATGCTTATCCAAGAAAACTTGAATCCACATGATTCATGACACCAGGCACATGGCATATCAGTATCAATCCACATGACATGAATAGCTGTCAATCCACCGGTTCCAAATCGTTGAAACCCACCCTCCCACTATACCATGGCCTCATGTATGTTCATTTCCTCCAGAATCCTCCAGATTTGTTCATCATGCACATGCGACGTGGTGTGTTCTTTTCGTGATAAGGTTGGCATTCACCCTGTTGGAAGCTTGACTGGGATTAGCTGAGCTCAGCTGTGGATGTTTGTAGAGTTCTGCACCTGCACCATGCAGCCGCAGAACATCCAATGCGAGAATCCTTTTGGGTAAACCACCCTCTCGATGCTTTGATCACCCTTGCAACAACGGTTCCTTTGATCACCCGTACTGGAAGTGCTTCACTTCTTGGGGGTCTAGTGCAAGGATTTGAGGATTCCGGATCCTCTTTGAGTCCTTTGATGATGTGTGTTGTCTTTTTGAGCTTTTTTGCTCAAAGGCATAGAAAAAGCCTACGAACCCAACAGGTTGCCCTGTCGTTTGCACAGGTCCGGTTGCAGCCTTCAGATCAGGCTTTGGGCGTCTCAACATCCCCAAGGGTTGTGTTTTCCTTAAAATCCCAAGATTAGTTTTTAGATGTTTTTAGGCATCTCAGAATATGTTATTTTTTCTTGTGTTTTGTTGAAAAGAAGGTGAAATGCAAGAATTGAGTATTCCTTTTCACGCCTCCGTTTGCCTAGATTCTTTGGCAACTCATGCAGCTTCTCTGAAAGTAGGATTTGTGGCTACCTGGACTGGAAAGCATAGCAGCAGCGGCATATCAGGTGGATTCCAGGTTGTCCTACCTAACCGTGAACAGCATTAAGCCACGGCCACCATACCCGCTGGCGCGGGCTGGCGACCCGTTTCCGGCCACCCAACGACACTTGCGGACTCTGAGGTCACGATGCTGCTCTTCTCGTTGATGTCCATGCTCTTTCTCACCACGCTACGGGAGTTCCAGAATGCGCTGCACGACCGCGACCAAGACCAGCCACTTGGACGTGAGGTCCAGAAGCAACACGGGAAGTGAGATCGTTGTTTGGTATTTGATTCGGTGGGCTACTGGCTAGCTGGCAGAAGTGCAATAACAAGATCAACAAGTCAGTAAGTCATATGATTAATGTTTACACCATAGTAAGTAACATAGTACACCAGAAGTGTACCCTTAGAAGATCATGATTGTGATTGGAACATGACATGCCAAGAACGGCTTCGCCAACAAAACCATGACCATCATTGTTCCCAGACAGAGCATGGTTTTGTGAGATTGAGTGAGATCTTGGCACCCCTCAAGGCAACATTAAGCAAGCAAAAGACTACTGGAACCAAGAGGACCGGCAACAAGAAGAATGATCCAGGGGTTATGAAGGGGAGAAAACGGGAAATTCTTGGTCGAAGGCAAGCCAGCCGGGACTTCTGGCACGGTGCCCAGTAGCCAAATTCATTCTCCTTCGGATCCTGAGGTTCTATGCTGCACAGCTGAAAATTGTGAAAGTGGCTCAACTGCATGGTTTGGTATGTTTGGGGAGTCAGAGCTTTTTGTGTCTTTTGTTCGAATAATTTACACAGACACAACGTGTGGTTGCGTGCATGTTTTTGATACATACATGTTCTTTTCTACCCTCATGTACCCCGAGCATGCGCTGCCCGAGGGTTTCCGGGCAATGGACCTCGGGAGAAGAGAAGCTGCCGTCATAGACCCCACAGCAGTTACTGACTACCATGACCATCCAATGGGTGTCCAATGCACTACCCTACACTGCTATCCGGGATTTGCATCAGACACCCAGACAGGATGGTCCAGGGGGTTTTTGTTTCTCAGACGTGAGAAACGTGTTTCTCCCACGTCAACTATACTGATTGGCGACAAGCCCCCATCATAGGCAACTCCTACAGTCCCCTGAGCGAGGTTGTCTTCATGATTATGCCGGTTCTGTGCTTGCGCTACTTGCTCCGCGGCACCCTCTCATTGGAATGGCGGAGGTATTTGACACACATCCTGCTGACCTTTGGCGCTTCGAAGATTAGGCAATGTTGCGCAACAGATCCCAAAAGTCTCAACAAAAACCGTTCAACATCTTCAACAGGAGTGAATTGAGGTCGTTTCTTCCATTGATTGATAGAAGGTGTGACAGGTCACTGCAACTTTGCGTGACAGGGTAATGACAGGTCATCTCCTTGAGCGCTTTTTCGCTCGTCCTAGTTTACAGCTGTTCATGTCCCATTGTCGATCACTCACCGTCTAACACCTTAGCAGGTGTTTTTCAATAAGCAAATGGTCTTGCCAAACGAAGTTAATGTGATTTGTGGTTATGTTTCTTTGTTCCTTTTATGTGGTTGTTTTGACCCTCTTAAACAATGGTTTTATGATGTTTGATGTTGTTATTCTTTGTCTTTCTTCCTTCCGCTTGATTTTACCAGGCTACTACTACTGATATGCTTGAATAGAGTGGTCTTGCGATGTTTGATGCTTTCGTTTCGGTATTTTTCGGTCTGACGGATTAGTGATGCACCATATCCCATCGTGGCACCATATGGGCCGCTTTCATGAGGAGTCGCTACATCAACGAGAAGAAGCTCTACTATCGCCTTTCGGACTGAAAGCCGCGGGAATCGAAAGAACTGGTAACGAACGACGGCAACGAAGCTTCACGCCTTAAAGTCCCAACCGTCGGCAACGAACGTGCCACCACTGGCTGTTGATTCATTATGGAAGCTTTGGTAGCTTTGAGCGCCGGTATGATTCTTGGCCCAGTATGTCCAGACCTAGTACTAGTGCATGGACCACATGACATGGGCGATCAACAAACACATCCAAAGCTTCGTTGACAACACTACAACAACATGGTCCAAAAATATAAAAAGCTTCGATAGATTGACTCCCTTCCCTTGTTTCATGCAACAAATTTACAGTATAACTAGATTTCACTGGGTCTCCTCGTCTCTTATTTTCATCATGACACTTTGTGAGATCCCTTGGGTTCGCAGGTGCGCTACACTTGAAGTTCTCCAACTGAAAAGGAGAGAGCTGGATGTTTTTGGAAGCCATTGGATAGCGTGTGCTTTTTCGTGTGTGTCCTCGTGTCTCAAAAGAGGGAGACTTTCCGACATCCCAGAGACCGACCAAGACCTCCAGACGGACCTCCAGAGAGAGACCGCGAGACCACATCGTTTCGTTCGCATGTGTAGTCATGTGTAGTCCGTTCTGAGTGTGATTCAATAATAAGCAGCTTAGCTGCTTCAACCAGCTGCAGAGACAAAACGTAGCAAAATAGGACCTGTGCTAGAGATCCGTGATCCGCATCAGCTTCGCAATGCTTCGCATCAGCTGCTCGACGTGTCCAAATCTTTCGAGCAGCTCCCAGCAGCTCCCGTTTTGCCTATAGTGCTGGCGGTGTGTTTCGCACCCCTGGTACACCTCCGCGTCGCACGCGCGTCCCGCGCATGGGGGCGCATCCGGCGCAGATCTGAGGCTTAAAACTGCTGGGTCGGAACTTGGACAACCCGGATCAACGCATCGCCCAGGACGCCCCGATGGAAAAACCGCCCACCACGCGACGCGTAGACATCGCGAGACGACACGCGCGTTCGGTCTTTGGGTTGGACGCATGGGACGGGGCTTTTCGCATGTGTGGATTGGGATGGATTGGACCAGGTGTGAAAGTAGTTTGTGCAGGCAAGATCGATTCTCAATGTCTCGGAAATGACATTTATAATGAGCATAGAATAGTAATAGTGAGACTGAGAGTGTTGAGGTGGAGCTGCTCTTTTTGTGCCAATGGGGTTTGGAGATGTTTGCATCCAAAATGCGAGATCCCAGAGTAATTATGCTGATCCCATGGCTTTATCTCATAAATCGTGTTGCGCTTGAAAAAGGCTCGGAAAGCCACGAAGACCAGCGGAAAGACGTGTCATGAGTTCAAGACCCCCAGCAGGTGAATCGGTGAAACTAAGTTGGGTATTGAATGAATAACCACAAGCTCAGAAGGCAGGTACGCAAGCTTATATAGACTTCATACCAGGACACCCTAAGGGGCTTCTATTGATAGCTCCTTACATGTTAAGGGGTGACCTGTGCAGGACACAGGGGAGTTCACCGACACGCTGCTTGGTCTCGCATCGAGATCGGCGATTCGCGGTGCACACTTGGCTCTGACCATGGATTCGGTCCCAACATGGATTCGGTTGATCCAAAGTGAGAACCATCACTATCAAACAAGCACCCGTCTGACGAACTACCTGATCGGTCAGTAGTTCTACTGGTTCGATCCAACATGAGTGAGTCACACATCGCTTGGCATGGCATCCACTTCGGTGAATGACTCGTCTAGCAATTCGGATGTTTGCTGCTTGCTGCTTCGATTCTTGCGCTGAGGATCCTGGAGTTTGCCACGACCGTGGCACAGCAAGTGCTGCTGATCGCGGTCCAATCCGGTATCTTGATTTCCATCTCCCATGACTTGTTCTACTTCATTGTGATATATTCCTTGGTCCTGAAGCTCAGTTGAAAAGAAGTGGATTTGAAGAAGGATGCATATAGGACATGTTCATTTGCCGCATGAAGAAGGAGCACGAAAAACTCACTTCTACACAAGTCCAGCACCGACGCAGACAGTTGGAGGTGCCCAGTTGGAGGTGATGGTTCGCTGAAGAAATGCCTTGCAGAATGCGCCAGGTTCCTCTTCTCTGATACCGGATACCAATGTAATGTATGTCTCAACATAAATACATAGTATAGGTTGATGATTTGGATGTCTAAAAAATAAATCGGTTGATGGATGTTTGAAAAACGAGGTGTTTCACACAATTGATGTCTCATGTCTTGGGCTTGGTGACTATCTTGCAAGATCTGACCGAGCCAGTTGCGCTACCCTGTAGATTCCTACGGATCCACTCCCTGCAACATCACGTCCTCGCCCCGTGGAGCTCGGACCTGCAGCCATTCCGTTTGGACCAGCAGTTCACTCACTCCACTTCCATCCACTTCCACCATGATTTCCAGGTGGTGAACTCAAGTGGCTTAATGGATACTGTAATGGATGTTCATTCCATTTGCGGACATGGAAGGCCGCAAAAAAAATGTTGTTCATTGATGTTCCTCCAGCTAAAACCAAGGGAGTCTAGCTGATTCCGAGCCCTGCAAGCGAATCTCTCCACCTCGCCAAGGAACGTGCTGTCCTTCGTGGTCTTTGGGGGGCCCTTCACGCGGCTGCGTCGAGGCGTGTTGGCACAAGAGGCCTCCTTCCGCTTCACTTTGGTCCGGGTGCCTTGGAGGGCCACTGGCTCAATCTGAAGAATGATTCATACCTGGACCTTCTTTCGGGGTGTCCTGGCTGGAGACCCTAAGTCGTGTAACGGGCTGGAAGAGCCAGGTGACCCCGCAGGTACTTTTCAGGTGCGACCCGTGGTCACATGGTCTCCACCTGGGTGTGTAGCTCAAATCATGGAGACCGACCCCGTGGAAAAAAGACCGACCAGTGTTGTGGGTCGAAGGCGCTGAACGTGTAGCACATACGTCTTGGGTCGGCTGAACTCGCCAAGTCAGATAGGTGATGATGGATTGGACACAGAGAAACACGACGGGAGCGAGTGTTTGGCTAAAGAAGAGTGAGTGGCTGGCGATGGCGGCGAGAAAGTGAACAATCGCGGCTGGAAGTCCATGGCCCACTAATGTAGTCCCTTGATTTATAAACCCCCCCCCCCCCCCCCCCCCCTCAACAACCAAGGCCTCCAAAATAATGTATAAGAAAATCAATCAATTGATAATTAAATAAGGAATCCTTAGCTAGCTACCTCTAGAGCTACTCTGGCAATATTAAATTAAAAGGAAATAAGAGTTCCTAACTTTGAAGACATCTGGAATACTAATTACAATAAAAGGGAATGAATCAATGGAAGTAGAACTAACTGTTTAAATTTCAATGGAAATCTCAATCCAAAGACCTGCAAAATCATTCAATCTCAATGGAAATCTCAAAAGTTTTAAAAGAAATCTCCATCCAAAAGCCTCCAAAAGCATTAAATCTCAATGGAAATCTCCAAATTTTGAATAGAAATCTCTATCCAAAAGCATCCAAAAGCATCAAATCTCAATGGAAATCTCAAAAGTTTTGATAGAAATCTCCATCCAAAGGCATCCAAAAGCATCAAATCTCAATGGAAATCTTCAAATGTTTAATGGACATCTCCATCAAAAGGCATCCAAAAGCATCAAATCTCAATGGACATCTTCAAATGTTTAATGGAGCACTATAAAGAAAGGGGATTTTATAAAGAAAGTGCGCACTGACTTTTGGAAACTTTTGGAAAGCTTCACAACTAAAGAGCTTAGGAAAAGTAAATAAGGAATAGAGGGTGAGTAAAGCAAATCAA